CCTCTTATACTTAAATCTCTCTGCAACCATTGATTTAATTTGGTTTGAGATTTTTTAATAATTGGGGGGAAATTTAGTAAAATTCTGTCTTTTGGATCTTTGCAGATAATCAGACCTAAATATGTTGCTTCATTTTTAACTGTTATATTACAAATACTCTGAACATTACACTCTTTGACAGGTAATAACTGACATTTATTTAAGTTTAGGACCAATCCAGACCCTTTTGAGAAATCCTCTATTACACGTAAAGCAATTGGCACTTGGCTGGCATTTTTAAGAAAAATTGTGGTATCATCTGCCAATTGACTGATGACAATCTCTCTGTCTGCTATGTTTATACCCTTCACAGGGCTATTCGAAATATGAGAGGCAAGAATTTGGGTGCAAAGTAAAAAAAGATAAGGGCTAATCGGGCAACCTTGGCGTACACCTCGATTAAGACTAAAACGAGAAGTGGTGCCATTTTTCATTCTAATAGAACTATTAGCATTGGAATACAGAGTTTTGATAGCTCTGCAGAAGATATCACCAAAACCAAATTTCTGAAGTGTAAGAAATATAAATTCATGCTCAATTGAGTCAAAGGCTTTATAGAAGTCCAGGAGAAGGATAAATGAGTCATCAGATATTAATGCTGAGTAGTCCAGAATATCCAAGACGAGTCTAATATTATTGGAGATGTGTCTGTTTGTCATAAAACCAGACTGTGTCTCGTCTACAATATCGTCCAAAAAATATTTAATTCTTCTAGCTAGCAATAGAGCTAATGTTTTATAATCATTATTTAGGAGGCTTATTGGTCTCCAGTTGTCTATAAAAAGTAGGTCCTTCTTAGGTTTGGGAATTAAAGTAATAAGTCCCTGAGTAAGGCTGGGAGGAAGAGTGCCCCTTTCAATACTTTCATTATAAACCTGCAACAAAAAGGGTGCAAGCTGACAAGAAAATGATTTATAGAATTCAGCCACCAGCCCATCTGTGCCTGGAGATTTGTTGTTTTTAAGAAATTCAATAGATGTCAATATCTCTTTTTCAGTAATTGGACTGTCACAAAAAAGCCTATCAGCACTTTTAATCATTTTAACATTGTTTACAGAGTCAATAAATTGGGTAGCGACCTTTGCGTTATAATTGGATTCATACAACTTTGAGTAGAAATTACAACAAAATTGAGAGATAATTTTTGCATCATCACTGACCGTACCATTTATATTCAATTTATGAATAGTATTGGTTTTAGATCTATGTTTTTCTAAGCGGAAAAAATAAGCAGAATTCTGCTCTCCCTCCTCTATCCACCTTTTTCTTGAACGAACGAAAGCTCCTTCAGCTTTCTGGCGGTAAATCTCATCCAGTTTAGATTGAAAGGACCTAAGATGTAATCTATCCTCTTCCGAGACCTCGTCTGGTGGGAGTTGATATATTGCGGAAATTTGAACAATTAGATTTTCTTCTTCTGCTGCCCTTGACTTAGCTATTTTTGCCCCATACTGTCTCAACATTTTACTTGTCTCAAATTTAAAAATTTCCCAGTTTGTGCTATAGGAATTCTCAATATTAGCCTTGTGTATAAAGTGTTTTAACAGTCATGTAATTTCAGATTTTACAATTGTATGGCTCAGAAGCGAGCTATTTAATTTCCAATAGGAGGATCTATTAATTGCAATAGTAGGAAAGAGTTGCAGATTAATATATATTGCTCTATGATCCGTAAGTGGAGTTGTAAGGATATTGACCGTAACACTGTCCTTTGATAGACTACTTGATATTAACCAGAAATCAATACGTGATTTCCTTGAACCAGAACGGTTACTCCAGGTAAAAGATATATCATCAGGAAATTTGTCTCTCCAAATATCAGTTACATTAAATTTATCCATAAATGTTTCCAATCTCAAATTATTCCTAAAATGTTGTGCTGGTGGCCATCTGTCTATAGTGTCATTTAGTGAAACATTAAAATCTCCTCCAATTATTAAGTTTGAACTGGGATATTTAGAGAGCCAAAAACTAATCCTTGTATCTAAAGAGTCAATTAAATTATCATTTTCAGGTTTGGTATTATAGCCATATAAATTGACAATTATGAAAATGGAGTGATTGTATTCTACTATCAGACAAATATAATGACCCAAAGAGTCACAATCTGAATGTAGAACAATACCTTCGAAGCTACCTTTGAGAGTTGTGACCCCAGCTGACCTCTCTGTGCCATGCGAATACCAAACATCGTTACCCCACTGAGACTTCCAGAAGTTCACATCAGCAGATACAGAATGGCTTTCTTGGAAAAAACAAAAATGACTTTTATATTTCTTAGCAAACAAAAATAAGGCTTTACGTTTACAGATCTGTCTCAACCCCCTGGCATTTAGGGAAACAATAGAAAATGACAATTAAGAAAACAAAAAATAAATAGCTAGAAATTTAAAGAACCAATATTGTGTGCTTAACAAAAAATAAACCTCACTAAGGGACCGAGCATTGCAAGGATGAAAATAACTCGGCAGAAATACACGAAATATTTTTTAGGATACAACTCTGGTGCTGAAACTTAAAGTGTCCTCACACTATAAATGAGGCATAGACTTAATGATCCAAAACGCCAGAAGGATCAATGAAAAACAGCCAACCAAGTCCAAGCAACTGTGCAACATTGTAGGGTCTTTTCCATTCCTTAGCTTCCCCCATATTCACCTCTCATTCTGAAGACGGGAAAACTTCTGTCCCATTAACAAAACCCCGGCATCCGACGTAATAGGCCTTTTTATTTTCTCTGCAAGCCTTCTTGATAATGGGCCACAACTTGCTCCGGCGCTCCCTCTCTTCTCTGGAAAGGTCCTCAGCAAACTTCAAGTCCCGGTTTTCCTTTAAGAATGGAGATGTCTTAGCTGCTTTCCACAGGCTATCTCTGGTTCTGCGGGAGATGAACTGGATGATAATAGGTCTGGGACTGGTGTTGTTTGGGCGTTTGGAGCCGACCCGATGTACGGTGTCAATGGTGTCATAAAGTTGGTTTTTACATTCAGGCAATGTAGCCTGACAAATCTCAACAGCAACCTTCCATGTATCCTCCTGTTGTTCTTCTTTGACACCAAACAGCCTGAGGTTCCACCGTCTGGAATATCGCTCGAGATCTGTGATTCTTTGCTGGTTTTTATCCATACGCTCTTCCTCTTTGGAGATTTTCTGCTCCAATGTGCCCACTCTGCATTTGACATCTTTTATCTCTTCGCATGCAAAGTCCACAGTTTTTCTGATCCCGTCAATCTGTAGTGCAAGGTTATCCATTCTTTCGTTTATTAGTTTTGATAGAGTTTCAACAATATCCACGCTATCTCCCTTTGAGTGCATCGCTTTCTTTGGCGCCGGAGACTGGCTGGGTGAGACGGGTAGAGGTGGAAACTCGTCCATTACGTCCTCAGTTATTGGGAGAGGTAGTGAAAGAGCCGTATAGTCATGGCAGTTGTCAAGCAGTGGGTTCACCGACCCGGTTGTTTGGCTAGCATTAGCCTTTAGCAGTAGCTTCGTCTTGGAGCTAGACGAGGGTCTTTTATTGTCATGCTGTGACATTTTATCTCTTAATTGATCAAAATCAGTCCTTTTCTGGCTTAAATACCGTAAAAGCTTCTAAGGTCTGAGTTGACACAGTGTTGCTACCGTATTATAAGGTTACATTTGCTAAGCTCGGCAGTAAGCGTGTACTTACTCGGCCATCTTGGAACGCCCTCGGGCGCTAACCGTATCATTCGAATGTATTGAATGTCGCAATGTTGGCAAAGAGAGGAAGTGACGTAAGATTTGCGCATGCGGGGTACCGATCGGGTTTCCGGTACAGATCGGGTAGTGACAGCCATGCTTGTTGTTGTGGTCATCTGTTGTCTGCCGGTATTTTCTCCGCAAGCGACCTTTCCTCGACCAATGAGATGAGCGGTAATCTGAATTGTCATACTCGAATTGTCATAAGTGTGCTGTCAGCTCATTGGTCACAAAGCAGGAGAGGGGCCGAGAATTATGTTTTCAAACAAAGTGTTAATTCCATAAACATTTATAGACTACTTTTAATTCTCACTGTATTACGGGACAAAGTGCGTCCCTTATTAGCTCAATACGGGACGTGTACTTTTGTTTCGAAATGCGGGACGATTCCGTTTTTTAAGGGACGGTTGGCAACCCTAAACTGCGTTAAATTTAATAAATTCTGTTTTCATGGATGTCTGGATGTTAAACTTAATTGTTACACCTGGTAAAACAGAAACACTGATAATTTTATTAAAGACAAAAGAATTTAGACCGTTTATAACTCTCAATGATGTTGCAGTGTTCTTCAACTTAGGGACCTGAAGCAGACGGAGTTCTGGACCCAGATTACTCCGCTAGGCTCCTAACTACAGTAGCTGTGATGCTCTAACAGTCCATCAAGCGGTGCAGCTTCGTAGCTTAGCAAAGTCGTACAAAAACATTTTTGACAGATTTTTTCAGCGCCGTGTACCACATAAAATCTGTTCGAGGTCAGTAAGCACAACCAGAATTCATACATAAGGCGCATTGTCAATTTCTGAGAAAAATAAAGGATTTTAAGTGCGCCTTATATGCGGAAAATATGGTGTATGATATGATGTAGGCCGACTATTTGTAGCTATAATCATTTCAACTCTTCTGAGAAGACTTTCCACCAGGTTTAGAAGTGTGTTTATAACTATCACAGCCGTAACAGGGCATGAGCAGCACACCCTGGACAGATTGCCCATCTGTCACAGCGCCACACAGAGAAACAGACAACCATTCAGACTAACATTCACACCTATGAGCAATTTAGAATGGCCAATCAATCTAACCCCTCTAAATGTATGTCTTTGGACTGTGAGAGGAAGCCAGAGTACACAGGGAAAACATGCAAAGTCACTGTTAAAATACACACATACGACTTAATGATAGGTAGTGTAATACCCAACATACATTGCATCACTAATTTTCATGTTTCAATACTTAATTTTCAGATTCACCTAAAAACATTACAGTTTCAGTCAGTCCTTCTGGTCCAGTACCAGAGAACAGCAATGTGAGTCTGACCTGCAGCACTAATGCCAACCCAGCAGTGAGGAACTACACCTGGTACAGAGTTGATGGAGACCAGGAGACGTTTATTGGAACAGGAACTAGTTTAAACATTAAAGTCTCCAGAGACAGACGGTCATTTTTCTGCAAGGCTGAAAATGAGATTGGAGTTGGACGTTCCAGCAGCATTCAAATAGATGTTCAGTGTAAATATCACATTTCACATCTGCTTTACATATCATCAGTATAACCCAGCATCAAAGAGTCAGATCATTAGAACAGAGTTTTATATACCATGTTTTTCCAATACTCAACAAATAGAAACAGTGTATTTTTTTAAATTAAAAAGTACAGCATTCTTAAACTGTTGTTTTAGTACATAAATCAGACTTCGTGAAATACACGTTAATATCCATCCACAAGTGATTGTGTTATTGCTTTTTTTTGGATTCAACTAAAATACCACAGTTTTTGTCTGATCAAAATGATCTTAAATAGTTCTTTAGTGTATGCGCAACACTAAACTAACACTTTATCTTCAGAAGACTTAGGCAGTGGGCTAAAATAAGGTGCAAGCATTCTTAAGATGTCATCTTTTTAAATAAATTTATAAGGCTTTATGACAGGTAGTGTAATACCCAATGTACAATACACAACTAATTTTCATTTTTTAATACTCGTTCTTTAGATTCACCTAAAAACATCACAGTTTCAGTCAGTCCTTCTGGTCCAGTACCAGACAACAGCAATGTGAGTCTAATATGCAGCACTAATGCCAACCCAGCAGTGAGGAACTACACCTGGTACAGAGCTGATGGAGACCAGGAGACTTTAATTGGAACAGGAACCAGTTTAAACATTCAAGTCTTCAGAAACAGACGGACATTTTTCTGCAAGGCTGAAAATAAGCTCGGAGTTGAACGTTCTAATGTGACTCAGCTTGAGATTCATTGTATGTATCTCAAAATTTAATTATACTATTTTTGTTAGAAATTGTAACAACACATGAGTGTTTTCCATTTTTCTGACATTTTTGGTTATCTCCAGATCAGTTTGAGACATGACCATCTTTACACACAGCATTTTACCGGTCACTTTGTCAGTTCATTTTTTTTAGTAATTTTTGCAAATATTTTTCAATCATCAAGGTTGTTTTTTACTGACTCCTCTCACTTTCTTTCAATGACAGTTCTTCCACAGATCCTGTTTTCATCAGATTGTGTTAAAACTGCAAGTCAAGTTAACTGTTCCTGTGACACTGACGGAAACCCTTCCCCTGCTGTACAGTGGTATTTGAATGGAGAACCTGTCAATCAGTCTGGTGGATTTGAAATATTCAGTGAGACTCTAAACATCACAGTTCACAGGAGCTCCTTCATTCTGAGTCAACCACATGTGAAGCATTTTTCCACCCTGCTCTGCCGTAGCTTCAACTCTCTGGGATCTGCCAGTCAACAATTTTGTATGAGCAAGTTTAAAAGCTCTGCAGAACCTCAAGGTTTGTATTTGGTGCAACTGTAAATACTCTTGTTTAACCCACATACATGATGCAGTGGAGATCAAGGAGATTTGATACCTTAGTCACTGATATCCTGTGCTCTACAAAGCCAGTTAAGAGATATTATCAAGATTTTACCCTAAATGTTAGTATTCATTTACAATAAATTTACTGTCAATAACTTTAGGAATTCCACTAATCCACACAAGCAGTTAGGGATGGGTTAATCCAGCTACAGTCGACTCACTAACAGTTTCATACAATATGGAATGTTTTGCAGTACATTTATATCATTGGTATTGTGCTAACACACTCCTGAATGTTCAGGACCAGCAAACTGCCACAAACATCTGCTTTTATAAACATGTTCACGCTTGCTGATGGTCATTAAATGAAGTTTAATAATCCAGTGCTTGATTATCAGCATCTGGCTGCTACCTATTCTTGTGATTCCTATGGAAGCAGTAACACACCGCTTCTGAAATTTGGATTAGTTTTTGTTCAGTAATGACACAGTATACCATGTTATGTTTTGTAGTTCAGCTGAGGCTGTATATATGTAATTTTAAGACCTGGTAAAGAGCAGGTGATTTTCAAAAACAAAATCCAATATTTAAAACCTTGGAATTTGAAATAAGTTTGTTTTACCACATAATTTTTGAGTAATATGGCTAATTAACCCTCTGGGCTCTATGGTGGCCAGTTTTGGCCACGAACAAGCTGAAAGGGTAGTAATCTTGAACAAACCCAGGGGGTTTAAAAAACAAAACACATTATGTATGTCATGCATACAATTAAAAATTAAGTAGGGTGATTTTTTATGTATTTATTAATTTTTTTACATGGTATATTTTTATATTTATTTTTGTTTTGTTTTTTTAGGTTCAGTTCTGTATCCAGTGATCGTCTCCACTCTTGTAGTGTTACTATTAGTACTAATGTGTGTTCTGCTGTTTGTTATCAGGTATGTACACAATTTGGTACTTAAAATTGTTCAAACTACCCACAGCATTTACTATTTACTAAGTTGTATTTGGCCTGATTTTCTGTGATCTTTAACTGAATACTGATACTGTGCAACTACTGTGTATATTTGGGCTTGATCCATCAGAAAACATACTCAACATTGGTAACACTACTGACTAACTTTAACATCAGTCTGAGCTGTTTATTGGACAGTTCATGTCTAAAAACACTGACATTATATGTTTTCATTTTCAAGACCTCTGTATGTTAACATTCAGATTAGTTTTCACATAGCAAGCTGTAATACACCACTATATATCATCATGAGTTTATCCTGTGAACTAAAAAGTGAGCAGTGAAAAACTGCAGTGTATGATTTGTAAAAATATATATTTGATATTTTACTTTATTTTTCAGGACTCAGACGAATCACTGTAAGCCGAAAGTTGGGTTAATAGATGAAAACAACACAGTTGCGATGATTCAGCCTCCGACTGAAGAAGGAAATGAGGTACTTTAACTTTATTTTTAAGGTTTTTTTAAAGGTGTGATACTTTTACATTTACACAAGAATGAATAGATGATCTTCACCGGAATGTTCACTGAAATTTACTATGCAATTTTAGGCACCAAACACAACAGAAGAGAGCATTTATGCAAATGCTGAAAGGTTGAGAGAGGCAGGCATTGTTGACCCTAAAGTAGTTGCTGAGCCAAGTAGCACCAACTTGCCAAGCGCTGAGCCAGTGGGTGCAAGAGGAAGCAAAAACTCTGAGAACAAAGGCGACAAGTGTGAAGCAATTTACTCTAGTGTGAACTGGAAGACCAAGAGCAAGAAAAAGAAGGAAGAAACCTCTGTGGACTTGAATTCACCTGGTAGCTATTATCTGGAGGAGGAGAAGTGCATTGTGGAGGGAATTAACAGAAATTTTGTGAGCAATGCACTAGAGATGGGAGGCCTGTATGATGAAGTGGGGGGTAAGAATGTGAAAAAGGAAGTGGACTGTGAATATGCCCAGGTAAAATTTAAAGACAAGACTGAAAAGAAAAAGAAGTAAACTTCTGTTTTGTTGAGCTTACTGCTAAAAACATAGCTGTCCAGCATTATCCTATCTTAAATAACATTTAAGATAGGATTAGAAATACAATTACATAACCTTTAATGATTAGCCTTTGAATAGTTACCAAGAAATATTTTTTGTTGTGTAAATATACCATTGCTTAACTGGCTCTCATATGTACCAGTGCACAGCCATCTTCTTTTGTGTGCGTTTATTATTGAATCTGGCACAATATCTCTGTTTGAAGACACTGCTTCAAACAGTAAAATATTAGGTTAAAGCTCAGGAGCCAACTTATAACTCCTTAGTGACTATGCCTGTCACTGCAAATTTCAGACCTTTGTTTAGGAACCTGTGCTAGACCCACTGATTTGTAGTTCCACGGAATATCATTTGTTGGTAAAAGAGCAAAAAGACCAGACTTTTTGTTAATAAGGTGTTTTTTTTAATTAAAAATTTTGTATGTCATGTGATGACATTGTGTCATCATTCTGTCTCAAAATAAAAAGTCTGAGACATAATAAACAAAATTATATATCATAAACCATGAGGAGAAGCGCGAGGATCAGCAGACACTTTGACATGAAACTGTAGGAAAGACAGAATTGTCACTCACAGTAGCTGTGGTATTGTGTACAGAAGTAAAATTTGTTTGTATATTTACAAAATATTAGTGTGTTTACAGTGTTTTGATGTTATAAGACAGCCAGAAATATATCGCTCATAAAAATATTATGAGCGATAATTAAACACAACATAATCACAATTGCTTTTATTTTGGCAAACATTTTCAAAAATGAAGTACAGCTGTGAGATTTGTCTTTTATGAATATGTAGTTTCATTTTCTTTTATGGGTAGCTATTCATTTACATACAAAGTAGCTATTGGGTGACCCACTGGTAGCATATGCATAAAAGTGTATCTATCTAGTTGGTTTTGTTCTTTTTGTATGCTCCATATTAACATCCTTTTGGCAAGCTTAACATAATTCCACTGGCTAGCTGCATATTATATTGTATTATTGATTTAGGGTTCACTTCAATTATCATTTAGGGCCTAAATCCTTACAGCATGTTAGATGCATCTAACCTTTGAGGCCATGCTTTAAAATTGAATGTACAACAAATATTAAAAAACTTTCATCTTCCTTCCAGTTCCTGTCTTTCTTATATCTTCTTTCAGATAGTGTTGCATATTGACATTAAATACAGCAGCTGTAGCTTTAACTAACAGACAATTTGACAAATTGTGCCGACACAATTTGCATGTATACTGAATTTTCAGGTGCTTGAAAAGTTGCATTTGGAATTACCCAACTCTTTAACTTATTAAAGAAAAAGACTGAAACAGACAAATTAAATGATGAATGTTTGTCATGAGTGAAAGGAAAAACAAAAAGGTTCCCATCATGTTTAATACCATAAACAGCACGTTCAGACACAAGATATACTGCAGAGATGAGAGTGAGAAAATTAGGTGGTACTGTTTATGGCCCCTTCTGGTAATGTTTCTTAACATTCACACTTTTTGTGCGAGTTCCTCCTATCACTTTTTTAAACACCTTTTTAAAAATGTAACCTCATTTTGCCCATGCACTCATCGTCGGAATGAACATTATGGTAATTCTGGGCATTTTAATGATTTCTGTGAACTGTTCTTTTTCCAGGGTGGAACAATTGTACAGCATACATATTTAATAACTTTTAAAGAACAAAAATGGGTGCCCAAGATGAAATTTATTTTGGATCTTCTGAAATCCACACATGGTCCAAAGCATAGTATACTTTAGACCATGTATACTATACTTTGGACCACTGTGTTAATACTTACACAGTAAGTATTTAGAAAAAAAGTGGGTTTTATTTACACACAAAATGAAAAAAATATACAAAATGAACTAACAATACAGGTCCCTTAAAAAAGGTCAAATAAATATAACTAAACTTAAGCCCAAAACAGCAACTTGCAAACAAAACTAACCTAACCCACAAGAAACAAAGGGGACCTAAATCTTGGCTGATCAGACCAAGTTGACACATAGGATGTATTAACACCAAACAAACCAATGCTTAGTTTTATAATCACTTTAATTAAATGCCCAAAAGAATACTAAGCAAACAGACAATTCATAAATCAAAGAGAAAGCACAGCATTAAAAATTATTTATTTATTGAAACCCATGAAAGAGCTGCACATGGTATGGCCCAATAAACTCTTCCCATATATAACACAGCTGCATCTTTTGCCCAACTTCAGAGTTGTGATGCTGCAGGTGTGGCCATCACACATACATAGAGACTAGAAACATATGCGCTTGCTCACTTAAATATTTTAACAAGTGTTGTTGAAGGCCTATTATCTTCTCGTTAATGATCATGATTGACTAGAACTGGTAGTTTCTCTTTACCGGCATAAAATGATTTATTGGACTGGTTAATAGTCAGAACAATTGGAAAATCCAATTGAGCAACTCACTGACAATTCAAGAAGAAGAAGAACGGTAGAATTGCACATGTTGGGAGGGTATCTTGGAGCCATTTTTTAAACAACTGTAGATTCCAAGATCATTGGTTCAAAGAATTGTACATATGGATGTTACTTGGATGTGGCATGACTTTGCCATAGTCTGGTAGAAGACTTAAACCCTCTAATGATAGGAAACTGATTAGGATGTTCAAACCTGCTATGACCTGGAAACAGCATCACTGTCCACAGTAATCTGAACTGTACATCATCATGGATTCAGACGGTGCCAACCAAGAAAGAACCCCCACTCCAAACACCTTCAACTAAAGCTCAACTTAAATTTGCAGCAGGTCGCATGGGCAAGCCAAATACCTTCTGGAAAAATTTTAATGGTCAGAGGAGACAAAGATTCAGCTATTTGGCCACAATGACAAGAGGTATGTTTGGAAGGAAGGCATGAGGCTTTCAAACCTAACAATACTGTACCGTCCTGTAATATGAATACACTCTAATATCAATTTGTCAATGTCCGTAACATCCATTAGTGTGAAAGATGCAGCAAAATACTGTGGCTTACAGTGCCAAATATTTTGTTACATTATCTTGAACTGATTGAGCCTGTGCGAGACAAGTGCTGACAGAACACCGTTGGACACTAAACGGGCTCTCTTCCCGAGTTTCATCTTTAATTACAAAACTCACTAGTAACTCATTAGTTGGAGTAGCGAAACCTTTAACAAACTGAGAAACTAAATATTTAGCATTTAGTTGCACTGAAATGACTGTTGGGCTTAACAGTGGACTCAGGGATGCACCCCTTTAAAAAGGGTCTGATTTTAAGGTGATGGAAAAAATGTGACTTGATTTGAAGCTGAGAAAAGGAACAAAAAGCAGTCACTGATAAAACAGTTGGGATAATGGGATGCAATTCCCTCTTTGTCCAGTCTAGAAAAATTCAGTGCTGGCGAAAAAAGATTGTTGTTTGTTAATGTGGAGTGAACAGAAACATTTGTGTTTTGATTTGATTTAGAATTTTCAGAGATTTTCAGAAAATTCATTTGTCACAGAGATGTAGAGGAATAAAGTTACAGAAAACAAACAAAGCCGGGAGAGAAGAGTTTGAGGCTAGTGTAGATTCAATGTTTAACTAGAGTGCTGCTCACCAGACATCATCAGGCGAGATTGTGAGAAATAAAGTGAGAGGTGTTGTATTAGAGGTGTTGTATTAGCAGCTAAATAAAAGATTTTTGGGGGTTTTTTTTAGTTTTTTTTTTTTTTTTTTTCTTCAGTGACACTGGTAGTTCAGGTCAGCTCAGAAAGAGTTACAAGAATAGCAGCAACACCATCATTGTTATAGGATTGATATGGCTAGTTATAGAGAAAATAACTTCCAGATATCTGTTTTTAACTTGTTTAGTTTCAGAAAGTCTGAAATTCCAAGGAATTTAAAAAACTGAACTGGTAGCAAGTTACTTGAATTGTGAAAATGTCTATAAATGCATGAAGCAGCCTGTGTGGAGTGGCTGTTGCAGGTCATTTACCAATTGAAAGGTTTGTAGTTCAATCCCTGGCTGTTGTAGTCTGCATGTCTAAGCACCATGAGCCAAGAATCCAGATTTGCTTTCAAATACATTCATTGCTGTGTGGGACAGGAACCAGATCTAAAAACATGTAAATGTGACAAAAATTAATGAAGGGGGAAAATATTTTTTAGCAGCATTTTGAATGTTTTCAAGTTGTATCAGGTCACTGTACTTTTAGGAGTGTGAGAGAAAGATAGAAAAGACTTTGGGAGTTGAGGTCCTGTGGAATGTAGAAAACTGTCACAGCTGCGCTGGGAGAAGGGCCCAAATGCAGGACCCTTCAATGTAAGCAGTGCGTTTATGTACAGTAACGTAAATAATACACAACAATAAATCCCTGTGCCGTGTCTTCCTCCCAGTGTCTGTGCCCTGTGTCCTCGCTTCCAAGTGTCCATGCACCCCGTGCTTGCTGCACTCTCATTTCCAGGCTCTTCCTGGGAAATAACAGAGGCGGACGTTAGACACTTTCCAACTGCAGCAAGCTTACGCTTACTGATATGTTGAAAACACTGACGGGTAGTCACATAATGATCAAGCGTCGAAGAGAGCTCCACCACACTCCTAAGTAGCTCCTCTGGCGAGGCTTGATCAGCTGCAGGTGTGTGATGATCTTCAGGAGGAGGAAAATTATGGAGAGATCTACACTTTTAAGAAAAGTAACAAGGAATGTGTAATAGGTTACTTTCTTTGAGTAACAACCCCAACACTTTATCCAGTCCTGTGCTACATATTCAAAAATTATCTGACTGCAGTAAAATGGACTCTCATATGCTTTAAATTGTTTTCATTGTATGTTTTGTTTCAGTTACCATGTCATTAAGTTCTATTCATGCACTTCTATTTGTAGAATAACCCACCCTAACCCCATCTTTTTGTTACACCATGACTAGGATGTTCTCTAAGTGAACATTATGTAATCTAAAACTGGTTCTTCTGAAACTAAAGATCATTGTTATTGTGTCCCTCATCGTCAGACTTCCTGGAAACTTCTGATGTCATTCAATGCATTTAAAAAGTGACACAGCAAAGATAACCATGTGAAACTCTCTAGCCCTGCCCCTTCTGCAATTTGAGTAAGTGCTAGACAAATATGAGAAACCTTTACCTCAGTCAGAGAAAAACCTACTTGATACACTTGTTGCTCAGGGATTTTTTTTTTTTTTAAATTTGGCTTCAACAGTCTCGTGGTCCGGAGGAAGAGCTGGCTTGACTTTGGAATGTAATGATCACTATCATGATCTCAGATCTGTGTGTGAATTTTCATTTTCAAAAAAGGAGATACACTCAGCAACTCCCCAAAACACAATAATACCCCGATTTATCAGAGTCACAACTCCTTTACAGTCAAATAGCTGCTGTCATATCTTACTTAAGTCAATGAAAGGTTTGAACGTCATGTTCAGGTGAGAAGTATTTTATGTCATGTGGACTTAAGTGTAGTGTTTCGTCAACACTAAAGATTTTCCGGTTTTTCAAGGGAAACTCCCCACACAACAAAGGCAGCAGAAAACACGCTGGTCAGGGGTCAAATATATTATCTATTAACTGTCTGCAAACATACACGGGGGGAAATTTCCTACACTTAATAGTTCATCTAGTGGACCAACACTGCAGGAAAGAATCTCATAACTATTTTGATTATGGCTACTGTGTGTTTGTTTTATTATCTGAACAAATCATTGAATTCCTTTAATTGTCATGTCACTGTTTGTTAATCAGTTACTTTATTGTAGAAGAAAATGAATGGGGGGAAATGAAAACTAAATATGAAAGAATTCCATGTGAATGCAAAAAAGAATCCCACCACTTAAAAAGGCATTAATCCCTATACATTTTAAGCTTTAATGTATCTTGTTTGAAGTACGAAATTTAAGCAAAGAAAATTTAACCCATGAACTGATGTTCATGATGTCCAGTTAGTTTGGACGGTTATTGCCCATCCAAACATTTGCCATACCTCCTGCACAGATGAGGTATGGCAAATGGTATGAATACAAAAAACAAAACAAAAAAACCCACCAAAAAAAACCAAAAAAAAAAACACGTGGACACTGCTAACATAATGGACAGGTTTTTGACGGGGCTCCCACATA